ATATAATGACGTCTTAATAGATATTGTTTCAAAGATAGAAAAAAAAATACGAGAAATATTGGTTAGATATTTCATTCTTATATAGATTAGGCATCATAGCTTTAAATTACGCGTAGTTAATTGTATAGTTATTGAGATAGGCTAACATTTAGGACATAATTATAAGTATTATTTGATTAACTTTAAGCAAAAATTGGAAAACATTTTTTCTTTATATCAGAGCAGGTACAATGGAACTCGAATGTTTAGTAGAGACAACTAACAAGACCTTGATGAAGACAGCTATCAAAAATCGAGCATGTGGATGTAATGGAACATGGCGGTGAAAGTAGCAGCTCTGGTGCATACATACATGGATCAAATGAGCTGAATCGCTACCTATAAATGGACATGTCCTACATAACGAAGAAGGAGAAACGTGAGATGTATGTGCTTCAATAGTGGAAACAACATCAAAGTCAATTCCCCATTGTAACCCAAATGGCACGTGACATTTTATCTGTGCTGGTCTCTATAATTGCATCCTAGCCAGCATCCTCAACGAGTGGCCGGTTTGTTGAAGACAAAAGATATTCTTTAACCAATGAATTGATTGAAGTGATAACATATTTACGGAATTGGATTCATGTAGAGAGAAGACTATAACAGCACTCTGAAGATCCTAAACCACTCGAACTCTTCAGGAACATAGATTTGAACAATGTAAATATTGTTGATGATGATAATTTAATAAAAACAAATTTATTTAATTGTTTATTTGTGAAGTGTGACTGTGTGGTTGTGTGAATATTATATTTATGTTAAAATTAATTAATTAAATTATCTCTTTAAAGTTTAAATTTAAATCCTCATATTTATAAATAATTATTAATTATAATTAACCATTAATTTATTTATTATTTTATTATTTTTTAAAATTAATTAAAAATTTACTAATCTCTTAGGGTGGAAATAAATTTTCCACGCCCCTAAAAATTACATAAAACCCCCTACATAATTTTTTTGGCCTTTATATATAAAAAAAATTGGGGGTTGAAAAACAATTTTTCAAGCCCATAGGATCGGTCCTATGGGCCCATGACCGGTTCTAGGGACCGGTCCGAGTCCTCAAATTTCTCATGGGCCTAGGACCGATCCTAGGTCCATGAGCGACTAGTCCCAATCGAGCCCAGACCCTGGCCCAGTTGGGATTGGTCCCTGCTCAGGTCTAATTCAAAGTAACAACACACTTACAATCACAAGTTTTGGAAAGTCAACCAACGCACCCACACAAATTTGACAACTTGAAGCCTTATGAATTGTGAAATAAAAATCTGGAAGCTTAATTTCATGAGGAGTGCTCTTGTCAATCTCTTGGTCACTTCTTGTGTCACTCGCTTGACTCTCTAATAAAAAGACTGAATACTTTATGACAAATTACAACACTTTCCATTTTAACAAAAAAGTGGTGAGATGGGTTTAATTGTAGATAAATGACCTTCTTCAACTTTGGAATATTTCCAAAAGTAATACTACACCTTGGTGTATAGGCAACGTGACAGCTTACAATTGGTGTATGGGCAAAAATCGTCTTGGGCCTAACGAGGCCCAATAACGAAATAAACATGTCACGGCCCAAGGCTTTAGCCTAATTCCGATTGGGCCTATTTTAAAGTCACCTTGTGAATTGCCCACTCTATGAGTTGGGCTATTCTACAACTTAAGATAAACTAGATTTCGGCCTATTACCCTACAGTAGTCTATAAATACGAAATCAGAATCCCATTTTATTTCCTCTTCTATTAAGATTCTGAATCTTATTCAAACTAGTAAACTTAATCTGATGAGGGCAAGAAATCATATTTCTTTCTTGATAGTGATTATCTCTCAAAGTAAGACTCAGTGTCCTACTAGGATTCCAACCTCTTAGATTCACGATATTAACAGAGGCTTGCCCTCTCATAATTCATTCAATCTCCACTTCTTGCTTCCAAGGATGTTATACTTTCGTCTTAGTCTTGGCCTCCAACAAGACTTTTGGTAATCTTTTTTTCCCTTAATTCTTATTAAATAATCTTTTTCAGCCTTGCTGACTTGAGTGTCGCAGTGCCTATGACAAATATCATCCCGGTGTTTTCCACAAGCTTTACGCTTGTCTCTTCATGCGTGCAGATCCAGCAGATTATCAGTGACCCCAATCTCACAGGATCAGACCCTGAAGATTCTTTAGAAAATTCTGGTTCCTTCCTCTTTTTGCCAATTAAATCTACTATATCGACGTGTGGAAATAGTTCTTCTTCCAATTACCCACAACCTTGCATTTACTAACTAAAAACACAAAAGACAACAAAAACAAAAAGGAAACCTAGACACAAATAAAGAAAAAATTAAGTAAGATTATCCTCTTATTTTGTTTGATTCCTATCCCTTCTTTCATAACACAATACCTTAGCCTACGTTACAAACTCAACAAAGTCCTAATGATAGAAAGTTATGTGATTATTCTACATTAGTGGAGAGTGGTTTGAAAAGTAGGCCAATAGAGTTTGTATTTACAGAATTTTATTCATATTTCATAGTTATTAGGATCAATTTTTTGTCTATGGATATTGCATATGGAATTATTTTTGGTTGCATCTACAATTGGTCAACTCGCAAATGGGTCTCGTCTGCCCATTTGTGAGCTAACCAATCACAAGCTATCATGTCAAGGTTATGAGAGAAAATTTGTAAAAAGAGATTATAAACGTAGTATTTTTGTATTTCCAATACAATAATACTACACATATAACACTCCCTTACAACATGAAATGACATCTGATGTGGCAGTTATCACCTCATCTGCCACATCATTCTCAAAAATTTTTTTAAAAAAAAAAAAAAAAATTCCCACCCTAAATTTCAAATTTTATTTTCCCACACTCAAATCCTAAATCAATTCCATTTTTTTTTCTTCTGAAAATACAAACCCAAAATTTTCTTCAAATTTCCTTTCAATTTTTAAAACCCTAGCCACCACATTCCCCAATCTCAGGTGAACAGTGATCACCTCAACTTGAGCGAGAGAGAGGTTTCGTATGTGTAATATTTACCTTAATGCATCCTCTTTGTGAAGCTAATAAGAAAAACACAAAGCACAGAGTTTGAAAGGTCAGCTGCGGGAAAAGCTGCTCGTGCATAGATGCAAGGGATTGCAAAGCTATTGGCAAACTCTAACACAGGCAAGCCAGTTGTTAAGGTTGTCCATTTCCTTCTTTATTGAAGTTCGAAACTTATTTTTTAGGCTCTCTAAATGTGGATGGAAATTTTTTCTTAAACTATTTCTCTTGTTTAACTATATAATGCAAGTTTAACACTTTGTTTTCGTGCTGTTGATGCAGTCGCAAATGGGTTGAGGTTGTGGTTGTTGCCTGTTTAACTACAACTGTTTGTTGTAAGTAAATTTTCTAGCTACAAATATTGAATATGGCAGGATTTGTTTTCCTTTCATGCAGATATGAAGTTCTGATTTTTCTGACGCTTACTGTTATGATTCCAGAAATTTGCTCCCCTCATTTCTTAGTTGGTGTTATGGGGCAGGTACTAATGTACCATTAAGATTGATTCAACTGATTTCTCTGCTTCGGCAGAAGCAAATGGTCAAGTGGTAACATGGGTTTAAGTTAAATATGACTGACCCTTTTCAGCTTTGGAATGTTTCCAATAAGTATATTTTATATATCAATTTATAATTTCATTTATAAGGATGTTATTGTTTGTAATTTGACCCACTCCTTCTCCCCTGGGTTGAGAGATGGGAGTTGGGCCTCCTCAGCTCATGACATATTGTGCATATCCATACACTTAATATATTGATTTTGAATAGGGATATTATTAATTTGGGTACAACTTTTGTCTGAGATGCTAAGAAACGGGTACAAGTTTCAATTTGTTAAATTTAGAGACATTAAAATGTAACTACTTTGTTCAATTTAGGGACAAAGCAGACACTAATTTTAATTTATTCAATTTAGGGACACTAAATAGTAACTTTTTCAAATTAGAGACACTTATTGTTACTTTTAACAAAAAAACAACAAAAAGACTTGGATAAACCTAGTTATTTATTTAGTTTTAGTCTTTCACTTTTAAATTTAAAAAGAAAAAAAATTGATAAAAAATTAAAAATTTTGTTTGATTTCAAAGTTTAAATACTAAAAATAATAAGAAAATAAGGAATAAAATAATTTAAGTTTTAAAAAAAGTGAGAGAAACCATTTTTAAAATAAAAAACAATCTAACAAAAAATTTTAGCAAAGAAAGGACAACTATTTTTTATTATTGAATTTAAAATTTTAAAAACATAAAATAAAAAAATAAAAAGACATTGGATTTTCCTCATGCTAGTGGCATAGCCACCAAATGCTAGTGTCACACTCTCACTAGCCAGAATCTGGGTCGACTTGGCTAGACCAAGGCCACACCAGGTTGCCATTCCCATAGCAAGATTGAGGCCACGCCAGAGCCGCGGCCTAGATCCAGCCAAGTCGGGCCAAATCCTAGCTAGCGATGCTACCCTTGCCCATTGTGTCGTTGGCCCAACAACTTTTTTCTTTATTTTTTGTTTTTTAATATTTATTTTTGTTTCAAATTTTTAGACAAATATTAGTGTTTTATTGGACAAAACTATTTTATTAGACTTTATTTAGCTTTTATTTATTTTGTCCCTAAATTGAGCAAATTAAAACTTGTGTTTGTTTTTTAGCATTTTATGAAAAAGTTGTACCTAAATTAATAATATCCCTTCTGAATGCCATGAACTTTTCCATGCTTTGTTTTTAATTTTGTTTCTAAAATAAATAATCAATTATCAATGCTTGCCTCGTTGGTACAAAATGTTAAAAATGTTTAGCTTTCTATTTAATTATAGTCTTCTCTTTCAATCAGTCCTTAATTTAAGTTAATGGTCAATCTCTTCTTAATTTATGTTAAACATTTTTTTTAAGGAAATGAAAATAAAATAGCGGATTTGAACAGTACAATTAGAAAGGACTGATGGCTGCTTTATAATTATTTCATACTAGATCTCAGATTCATCCCATTTATTTCAGACTAAATTGTTTAACCACTTTCAGATCGCTAATGCAGTAGCCATGTTGCAGAAGGTGAATATTAGGGAAAAATTTATTGCCACTGAGAAATTAAGGAAATGAAATCCTCAATTTTTCAATTGAGAACCCCCTTAGACTTGAAGTACTCCAGAGTTTGGTCATAAATTTCTTCAATCCCAAACTTGAAGCTGAACCCTTCACTAATAAGCTTCTCTGAGGAAATCACTAACTTGGCCTTGGAAGGGAAGTCTCCGAAACTGCAATTTGCAAACATTAAAGGACTGAGTCAGTAGAATGTTATTTTAAATCCTGTAACACACACAAAAGTTGAAGTGGCTTACTCAGCTGGAACTTTGTACCGAGGGTATCTTTGGTGAAGGAACTTGGCAAGTTCAGGAACACTGGTATTCTCAGCACAACAAATGTATCGACCAGAAGCAGATTCTTTCTCAGCCAAAAATATATGTGCTCGGCAAACATCCTCCACATGTGCTATGGAAATTGAACCTGACAGCATTTGCAAACCCTTCAAAGCGTTTGTGAGAAATTCATTTCCTGCAAAAAGGTTAAAATGCCATTTCGTTAATGTTTTAATGTGCCAATTCTTCATTCATATTGTCTTTCCATGTGGGGATATAGCTCAATACCTGTTATCAAACACATGGCAAGGCCTGTGCTGCTAGGAATATCTGGCGTAAGAGAAGGACCAGCTATAAGAGGAGGGATGATAGTAATAAGATCAATGTTATTTTCTTGAGCAAACTTCCAGGCATGCTTTTCAGCCAAGGTCTTGGAGGCAGGGTGCCCCTGCAATATTAAGATTACCTTATTTTAGACCATCTGATTAAATTTGTTAGTAATGTCTCACTTAAAGTACTAAAATATTTTGGAAATTACCCAGGTTGGTGGCTTTGCAGAAGACAAAAACTCAACATCTGTCCAGTTTTTCTCGTCCATGACCAAACCTGTTCCATTTTGGCCATTGATGGTCACAGCAGAAGTTGAAGATGTCAATACAACTCGTTTAACTGTTTTCGATTTTGCACAGGCTTTCAAAACATTCACTACTCCTTGGATTGCAGGCTTGATCATGTCATTCTATATACAAAATTAGTAAACCGCAGTGTTAATGAAAAATCCAGTAGTACATTTTACATCATGCTGAAAGTCAGAAACGCATATTTTATACTACCTCTGGATCTTCAGAAGCAAAATTGACTGGCGTTGCAACATGGAATACAATGTCAGAACCAGCAATAGGAACATCAAAGCTCCCTTCATCAGTTAAATCTGCTCCAAAAATTTTTAGTTCACCCAATTCCTGTAGGGATATGAGGTGAGAGATCTTTTTCTGGTCATCTGCACTCGACAATCAAATTCACGTCATACATTCATTTGCGTAAGACTCTCATCAGTGCATTGTTTTATCAAATTATATAAAGAGAAAGAACACAGGAGTTACAATTACGAAACATTATTAGCATTTTAAAGTTAAAAAGTCTGAACGAGCTGTACTTTGGGTAGGATGAGCCCAATATAATAAAACAACATGGGCTTAGCACAGTACATAGTCCATTACGTGTCTGCTCGAGCTCAAATGTTATGTAAAAGCCCAACAGGCCGGCCACAGGCTTTTATGTGACCTCAACATTTAACATCGTAGCCATAGCCACCAAAATTTTATTGATGCCTCACCGAAAAAATAAAAAAACACTACAGGTATCTAATCAGTAAGTCGCCGGCAAAATTATGCAAAAATAGGCCCACAAATTTGTTCTCATCCAACGGTAAGATTGAAAATTTGACAGGTTGGGTTTTCATTTGGATACATGAAACGATGATTGAAGAAGCATAACTGGAAGACTTTCCAAGCATATAAAGGATTCATCAAATATTTAAAGAAGGGGGGAGAAGTAGAAGAAGAACCTGGGCCTCTGACGGTAGTATTGACAGAATATCCCTTCTGAAGCAAAAGCTTGATGAGCAAAGATGCGACATATCCAGTGCCACCCACAACACAAGCAGTCTTTTTCTCCGTGAGCTGGGTGGACATGGTTGATTTTAGTTTGTTTTGTGTATTAGGTTGGCAATGAAAAGAGAGCCTCAGAAAGACAGATTGGATGGGATAATAAATTTTCTTCGGATCTTATATAGACCTGAAGACTTGATGAACAGATTTCAGAAGAAGCAGGTGAGCACGTGATATTGAAAAGTTAGAGATTGATGGTGGAACTCGCCAAATGGTGGCCAAGCTAGACTAGCGTCAGTGATGCAACCAAGCCAAATGTTGTGTTGCCAAAACGTAACCAAGCGTCATGAAATCATCGCTAGGTCAAACAGTCGATCGCCAAGAACAATAGCACGACTGATGCCGGGGTTGGTGAGACGTTCATAAAAGATTTATGGGAAAATGTAACTCGCCCAACCGGATAAGACTAAACTTACTTTCATAATCAATAATTTCAAACTTAAAGAAATCAGGAACCAATAGAGTAGAGATTCACAAATCTCAAACATTTATTTATTTATTTATTTATTTAAGTAATTGCGTTAAGAAAGAATCTTGATCACAACACTAGGGATAAATTTATCATTAAAAAACATAGCCTTTACTAGCTTATTAGGACTTTTTGTTACGAAACTTTTGTATTTTCTTTCTATCATTTTCAAAATCATTTTCTCTCATTTATTGTCTAATTACATAAATGACTATTAAAATAATGAATTAAAATCTTTATACATACTACTAAAATTTTTATTATAAAATAAGAAATTAAAATAATAATTTTTATAATTACATCTTTATTGAGTTATAACCTCTCTATAGTAATAAATTAATTTGATCTCATTATTATAATTATAGAGAGGTTTTACTGTACTTGATAAATTAATAACTTCGATTAAGTAATATTTTTTGTCAATCCTGACTTAGGACCAATATGATAAATTAATAATTCACTAAATTTATAAGATAATACATTAAAAAAAAAAAAATACGCACACACACATTTGTATCACTTGATATATAAATCAATAACGCAATTATGAGACCTTTGTAAAATATAACTCCAATGTTACTTGTTTCCTTTGGAAATTGATGTTTCCTTAAACCTCATCTCAAACTTTTTTTGATGCATTAAGAAGCTCTGGTGTAATGTTCTCGTATTGCAAAAGAAAATTATATAATGTGGTTGTAGCTTTGAGTGCATCTCTGCTCGAGACAGACTCCAATACAGAATTATCGTCGTCAACTTCATCTTCTTTGTCATTTCCTATAATGTTCTCAAAAATTTATTTACATGCATTAAGTTTAATATTTTAGAAAAAAAAATAAAGAATATATTGGTAAATTAATAATTTATTAAGTTATACGATTAAATAATATATCGATTAATTAATAAATTTTCATAATTCTAAAGATATTAATTTATCAAGGTTTATTTGTATTTGTCTCGATTTGTCATATCTCATTTAGTTTATCAATTAGTTTATCTTATTTTTTTCTGTTTAATCTCTTTTTCTTCTCTCATCAACTTAAATTAATTTGATGTCCAATAAAAGTGTAATCCACAACCACCTTAAATGTTCCAAACATATTTTAGATTTAGACTATTAATGGATGTTATATCGAAATGATTATTATAAGTTTTTCTTCACTTATATATCAAAATTGGATGAAAATGATTATAAATATATTATACTAAAAGTTGATTGAAAAAGACTTATATAAATAATTGTATGGATGTGATTCGTGTAACCAAATGGTAGAATTATTGTTAAAAGGGATGTGCATAATTGGTTGAATTATGGTATTGGCGGGATTAGTTAGCATCACGTGTGGGTGTAGGTACGCAACTGCATTGAGGTAGGTGACCTCAAGATTTGAACCTAAAAAATCAAGGAAGAGAGCAGACCTCTTTCACAACTAAACAAACGCCTTGAGGTTGGTGGCTCTTTCAATCTCTTCACTTCCGTATTTTTAAGAAATTGGTTTTATCTAATTAAATGATGTCCCCGCCTTTTTTTTTTTTTTTTTTTAAGCCTCATAAATCATTTTTAAAAATTAAAGAAGCTTTAATACATATAAGATTTTATATTTATGTAAGAATAAGATCATCTAACTGCCAAAGATTACACTAGAATCATAAATACTTTTATTATCAAAAAAAAAAATCACTTCCCTTATCCCATTTGGTTGCTTGCTTGCTTGATGAATGACCTTTTCAAGCTCTCGGGCTTTTATTTGTGTTCAATATAAGAGATTTTTAGACCCCATTATTTCAATTGCCATCTTCAACCTTAGATAGAGGTATAAGATAATAATATTAGAAAAAAAAAAAATATAACATGGTTCTTAACATATAAAAAAATTTGAGGAAAAATTATAATTATGTTCATTATTTTACTCTAGATTTAAATCTTTAATATCTTTTGTTTCTATAAGTTTGTTTTTAAGTTATATCTGTTATTAGGTATAGTAAAAAACTAGGGATCCCAATCATATTCCCAAAATATTTGTTGTTTTATCATTTGAAAAATACTATTCTATTTTTTAATTACTTTTAAACCCCTTAAGTTTATTAATTGATTAAACCCCCCTAGAAAAAAGTTTAAAAATTAACAAAACACACCTCACTTACCCATCCATAGTGTGCCAGATCTTTCACAACGATGTAGAAACGACCAAAAATGGCTCATTGCCGATCTGTCCTTTTCCATCAGATTCACACTGGATCTGCTAAAAAGCAGATCTGCCGTCGTTGATGGTCAACGACGGCCAAATCTTACCATCTTGACCGAACAACACAGCATATCTTTGGCCGTCACTGACGGCCAATCGACCTTTTGCGACCGTCTATTTCCAGCTAGATAGTGTGTCTGTTCGAAAAGCATATCGCGCATACCGGCCATCCACCATGCTATGTCGTAACAATTTTTTCGGCCAAATTCCAATGGTGGTCGGAATCTGGCACTATGGGTGGGTAGGGGTGTTTTTGTCATTTTATAAAAATTTATAAAATGGGGGTTTAGTTAATTAGCAAACCATGGGGTTTTGTGATTGTTAAATTTTACTTCATATCTCACCCTATTCAACACCCAATATTATTCCAAAATCCAATCTAAAATAACAAACAAAACGACCTATATATTTTTTTTATCTAATACTAAAACCAGTGTTTAATAACCAACCTGGTGAAACCTGAAAAGTGGTCGATCCAAGTTGACCCGTTTAACTGGTTATCTCGGGTCAATTGTGATGTCAGCATGTCCAAAAGTTTAAAATTCAACAAATACACCCTAAAAATTACACTTCAGTCCTATAGATTGAAATCCAGCAAACATACGCAAATGCAAATGACGGTCGACAAGTTGGTAGCAAAAACACATCAAATGCAATCTCACTCATCCTTTGAGTCATTCCCCAAAAAATTTGTTCCAAGATCTGGCCGAAATCGCTTCGATTTCAGCCAGATCTCACCACCGTTGTGTCGACACCCAGGTCTAATAGGCATATTTTCGGCTTAACACCCTTCTTATCACCACAAAATACTTCCCTCAGCCTCCTAACCAAACCATCTCACCCCCTCAGTTTCGCCCCGCTAATCACTAACAATAGGCCACTGCTGCCACACAAAACTTTGCCTTTTCGATTGTTTCATCACTCATGGGAAATCACTCCTTCGCCACTTTCAACTCACCGATACTTCTTCAAACCCCCAACTCCCTGCCACTGTATGCTCACCATTGCCGATTGTCAATCTAGGGCTTAGGTGAATAATTGAAATTGTACCCGCCTAGGAGGCTTCAGGTCCTGGTTAAACCTAACACCCAACTGGTTTTAAAACACAGACTAAAACATCTTAATCAATAAATATAATTTTGTCACAATAACCCTATTAATTTTATAAATACATTGTACAAAACCTTTATGCTATGTATTTTTAGTATTATTTTAATTTTTTGTTATCATAAATTTTTAAAAATATACATAAAATATAATAACTAGTTATCTTAATTTAGACACATTTGTTTTGTTTTATTTCCATAAATTTGATAATATAAATGTTAAAACATACTATAAAACTATATTATATTAATAAGGATTACACTACAGAAGTACATTTGGCAACCATTTTTTTGCAACTAGCAAAAATAGTTGCAGATACCCACATTTAGTAACTAAATTCCAATTAGGCCAAAGGAGTAAAATTCTAAGGCCAATTTATTCTCACATTTGGCGTCTAAAATTAATATTCACGACTAATTTGATTTGTTGCCCAAAATATCACATTAGCGACTAATTTATTTGGTTGCCATTCTGCGCGAACACAATTGACAACTATACAAAAGATTCGCAACTAAAATTATGGTTACAGAAAACATTATTTGCAACTACTAAATAGTTGCTAATTATATGCAAATATTTATTAATTAATTTGTAACTATTTTTTTAGTTACAAATAATACATTACCGAAATATCCACGCTTCTGACAATAATTACAAGGGCCCAGGGTACATTTGGCAACTAATTATTTTGTGCATATTTCAAATAGTTGCTAAAACTTGTATAGCAACTAAAATGTATTTAGTCGCTAAAAGTTTATGAATTTTTTTACCCCCAACTTTTCTGGTGAAATGAAAAATATTTTTTAATTTGTGACATAAAATTACTGTTGCGTACTAATTAGTTAGTTGCAAATTATCTTCTTTTTGGCAACTAAGATTTTAGTTGCTAAATGTATGGTAAATTTTGAGGAACCCATGCCCTGTTCCCGCTTGAAATAAATTGAAATTTTGGGTATGTTATTTTTGGCAACTAAAGTTATAGTTGTTATTAGAATTTTTTTGCAACCAAAATATTGCTACTAAATATTATTTATTAAAAATATATACTAATAGTAACCAAAATCAATTTATATTATGTCAAAGCCATTCTTTACAAATGGTATTTCAATTTTATTGTTTGATTTTCAATCCGTATCTTCACAACATTTCTTTAATTTGTTTAAGCATCTGTGTTAGTAATGGGAAAAAATGGGCCGGGTTTAGCGGGCTAACCTAATCCGGCCCGTAAAAAGAGGGCTCAAACCGGCCCGCCTTAATGGCGGCCTCGGTTGAGCCAACCCCCAGCAACCCTCGGGCGGCCGGGTTACACAATGGTAACCCGGCGGCCCGCCGGGTTGCTAATTTGTCCCCTTTGCAAGAGGCCCGCAACCCGGCGGTTGCTGGCGGGTTGGCATAGCCAATTCGCCAGTTGGCTGTTGCCAACGCCAACCCGCCGGGTTGGCCCAAAAAAAAAAAAAAATATTATAAATCTTTTTTATTTTTTTCAATTACACTTTAACCCTTGA